GAAACATGGAAATACATAAACATGGAGAGAAGAAAAAGAGAAAACAAGACGAATTTTAAAAGAGGAATGGAGACAACATGTTATGGGACTTCTCTGAGGAACAGACGAAAGGAAAACGGCAACAAAAGAGAAACAATAAATATTAGATACAAAAGATGAGATCACCCTAACAGAAATGAAAAACCAAATAAAGAAACTGAAGAAGAAGAAAGCCGTGGGCGAAGATGAAGTAAAAAATGAAGCCTGGTTACTGTACAGATGAGGCAAAACACAGGTTATTAGAGGTCTTACAGAGTCTGGAAGGGGGAAAATTTCCCAAATAGTCGGAAGGAAGGGAGTGATAGTTCCTATATATAAAAAAGATGACGATAAAGTAACGCGGTATCTCGCTTCTCAACACTGCATATAAAATCTACGCCATGATTATAGTAGAAAGGCTCAAAAAGGAGGTAGAGAAAAATAAGATTCTTCCAGATACGCAAACAGGATTCAGGAAAAAAAGTAGCACGATGGATAATATTTATATATTAAACTATGCTGTGGAAAAGGAAATAAATAAAAAAAGGAAGAAAAGTATACGCTTTTTTCGCAGATTTGAAAGCGGTCTTCGATGTCATAAATAGAGAAAAATTATGGACAATCATGAAGAAAAAAGAATTAAATAGACATTTGATAAGAAGAATAGAGAAAATATACGAGGAAACAATTAATACTGTGCTAGTAAACGGAAAATATTCTAAGAAGTTCTGGACAAATGCAGGAGACAAAGATGACCAACACTGTTCGCAATATACATAGCGGATTTAGAGGAGGTGCTCCGCAAGAGACAGGCGGGAGGTCTGATAATCAACAAAGAGAAGATATGGAATCTTGCGTATGCAGATGACATCGTATTGATGGCGAGGGAGGCTAACGATATGAGAGAAATGTTAAATAGATTTTCAAGTTTTTTAGGGAAAAAGGAATTAATTCTCAGTGTAAAAAAATGTTTAAGAAAGGGGATGGAAGGAAAAAAAAGAACGGTGGCTTTGGAACGGAGATAGAGAAGGTTTGAAGGTTGATTATTTTAAATATTTAGGTTACACGTTACAAAGCGCAATAATAGCACGGATAGACATATCAAAGAGACAAATAAAAAAGCTATATGTGCTATAAAGCAAGTTTGGGGGATAGAGCAAAGGAAATTCGCCGGAGATTTCAAAAGGAAAATATGGATGTTTGATTATTTAGTGAAGAGTATAATAATGTACGGAAATCTGGGATTGGAAAGAATACGAAGTAATAGAAAGGTGAATAAGTTTATAAAATGGACATTAGGATTACATTGGAATATACCGGGATATATAGTTAGAGAAGAAACAAACGACAAGACAACTGTTAAGAATAGAATCAGATAAAAGGACGATTAAATTTGAGCAAAAAATAAGGGAGAAATCAGATAATAAATATTGATAGAGTGCTTTAGGGAAATAGAAAGAAACAGCGAAAATAAGAGAAGATGGGAGTCGGAAAAAGAAATGTATTTTCGTAGAAATGAAATGTCGAGAAGAGAAGTTAAAAACTGTAGAGAGGAAGGGCGCGAGGTAAGCAAACTAACAGCAAGGGACCTAGAAGTACAAAAATAAATACAACATAATAAAATCCAGGAGTCAAAATATGGGAAAAGATATAAAGAATTATGTACGATAGGGGCACTCGAATATTTAAGGAAAGGTAGTCATAAAGACTTTCAAAGAATTATTGCGAGATTTAGATGCGGAAACGAAGAATTAAGTAATAGATACTGGCGTGAACAGGATAAGAACGTATACAGGTTGTGCCATACTAAGGTTGAAACATTAGAACATTTGGCGACAAAATGTATAGAAATAATAAGAGATAACACAAGATAAAGTCAGAAGAATAAGTCAATTGCTAGGAGAAAAGAGGGAAGAAATCAGTTGGATGAAGAAAATCGTAAAAGCAAGGAAAGAGAACAAACCCAAAAAAGTATAAAAAAATAGGAAGATAGGCATATAGCAAAGTCAGAAAGAGATTTAACCAAAATTACTAAGCTTAAGAAAATATTTATATATCATATTAATACATCTTAGATTTATACATTGTTATGTAAGATGTAAAACTTAGTTAAAAACCCCGGTTTCAAAAGTCCTTAGGAAAAGGTACAAAGGAAAATTAAAATAAATAAATGAATATATATATATATATATATATATATAACACACACACACACACACACACACACACACACACACAAATACACAGAATATTAATATTTTTATAATACACAAATATGAATACTTTTTAAATAATATAGAAACAAAAAAGATAGATATTTATAATAATATAATATGTGGTGTAATGTGTAGATATTTGCCGTGTAACTTCAGTCAATTTATTATTTTATAAATTTGTATTTCTCCCCATCGAATTGATGATATCACACATGATATTGTCACGTACCGAACGAATTCATTGCGTTCGCAGCGCGAACTTCGCGCCAAATCCAATACGATCGGTAAACAGCGATAGCCCGATTTCAATCCGACAATACGACACGTACGAAATTGAGGATTCATCTATCTCCTAATATTAACGGGATCGCAGATGCAAACGACAATAAGCTGCAATGTAGCGCGGGAGATAGTGTAATCCTCGCTATCGATACATAATAAACCAAGAGCAAAGCGGCGGGAATACAATTATCGTTCTGTTCGCGTTGATAAAATTTATCGTGTCCCAGCATGCAACAGCAGTATAATTTCCGGTTAATCCGATCGGACCGGCCGAAGAAGAGAGAGAGAGAGAGACCCGCGGCCTTACCTATCTACACTATTAAGCGTAACACTATCAAGTGCCGTGTAACCTCAAGAACTTGGAGTATCCGAAGACTACGTATACCCGGACTTCATGAATTATTTAGCACCGACTACCGTAGCGCAGTATAAATCCGCTTAAAGCTGTACGGTTTCAACCTAATTTTCATAATGATAATATTCACCGATTCGATCAAAGGTATGGATTAATTAAGGATATGAACTCGCCGCATTCCACTTTCAACGTGCTGTATCATATTTGATATCATCCAATTCTCTTTATTACTCAATTTCTCACAAATGAGAAACCTAACGTCAAAATATTGCTTTTATTCCACCTAGAATTAATAACGAAATGTTCTTGATTTCATATTGAAATATTATTACGGGTTAGTCATAACTTCATCTCGATGATATAACTCTAATAATCTCAAACATTTGGGAAAAATTGATTTTTCGGTGACACATAATTTGCCGGCGCAAATTAATAATATCTCGTAAAACGTAATAATAAAATTAATAAATTTTTATAATGTATAAATTGTATAAATTGTTTGAGACTTAAAGAATCAATTGTGCATATACGTAGATAATTTCCATGTTTTTTTGACAATCTTTTTTGCGAGAACGTTCACGTAATCACCGGTACTGCAAAGAGATTTATGCATTCGGGAGTTAAATATTAATTCACATTTGCGCGCGATTTAAGCTGCAGCGCCATGTCCGTAAGTAGTGCTAGAACATGAAAGCACAGACTTGTAGGCTTTCGTGCAACCATAATGTTAATAAATAACGTGACGTTTGTATGATGGCGGAAAATAATGCTGCTTTCTACTCCGTTGGGAACAACGGGTTAATCGGTTTTCGTCGAGGCGCGCGCTCTATCATCTTTCACTTCTAATAAATATAGAAATAGATTCTTTTGATCGCTAAGCGCCGAGCGTACGCTCGCTTTGCATATTTAACAAGCGGAGTCATACGCCCGGGCTTTCGGACAAAGTCCGAATTTTCGTAGTCGAGACAAGCTCGATTAATTTTCCAAGTTCGACCGTCCTTGACGTAGGTCATGAGAGGTAGGTTTTCAGGTGGCCAGCCTCATAAACACTTCGTGCCTGGCAGACATTTGTCATACATAGGACAACGTTACGAAGCCCTATTACTCGCCGACTTTGCTTTGCAGATGCGGCAAGATTTGCATGCGACGGCATAAAGGAAGTATGTTAGTTGCGAGAGGGCCGAGGGACACGGAGGATCCAGTAAGCGGATGAATTTTAAAACGACAACATCGAACGAACTGCGTTATTGCATATTTCGAAAAAAAAAAGGAAAAAAAATAGGAGAATGGATTTCAAGTGAGACTCGTGGTTTTTTAATAAGCACTTTTCGAAACTCTGAGATTCCTCGACTTGTTAGCGTTCATAAAATCCGCCGGTTTTCCGGAAATTAGTTGCAAGTTGAAATATTGTTACGAAAATACGTTTACGACAATGTCGTAATGCCGTTATGATCTGAACGGTAGACAAATATAAGTTTTTTTAGAAAGTTTTAATTCGGAATATATTTAAAAAAAGAGATATTTTTCGTATCTTTTAAACATGATTACTGATTACTAATCAAGTTTTAATTGCACTATTTTTCTGTGTTGCAATCTTTTCTTTTTGTTCTCGAAGAAAACTTATTTAATCTCTTTTTATTTTATACGTATATGAAAAATTTATAACTAAGCTTATACAGTGCAAAAAACTTAAATTTAGTTACAAAATATTATTTTTAATTAAATTTTTGAAAGCGTTTTCAACATTTTATACATTTCAAGCAACGTTATTTATCAAGCTTCCAAATTTTTATTAATATTTTTTAAAAAGTATATTTTTAGCACACGATATTATAACAAATCAAGATAGCAGTTAGCCTCTTTCATGGACGCGTAGCGAGATTGCAACGACGATGTGATAATTAATCAAAGAAACGATTGAGGTCAGATTCACGTTACTCGCAATCTAGCTATATCGTGGTCGACTTTCAATTTAAAATTGTGAAATTTTGTGACAAAATAATAGAATCATAACTTTCCCATCGTCCGCATAATATGGATTAATAAAAATTAAGGGACCACTCTAAAAATTATCAAGGCAGTCTAAAGTGCGAGAATCAAACTTCACATTTTTTATAATATGATTACAGTGGCAGCAAAGCATAAATGGAATCTACGAGGTGGGATACGCGATATCCTTGGTAGCTCTATTGCTTTCTTTAGGAATTCTCACGTACTTCCGGTAAGTTACAAATTTATCGACATTGTTATTATCTTCGCTATCTCGACAGGATGTTAAAATTTGTATGCGTTCTGGAGTACGTTAATGCAAAAACTTTGAAAATTACTTTCGAAAGTATTCTGCGTTGCAGATATGTCTAAATTGGATCGCTTAAGAGGAGAGACATAATATCTCTTATTTTTAATTCAATAATAAGACTTGCAGATTCCTCAAAACTAAGAAACAGATTTTTTAGAGATTTTGAAAGATGAAACGCGAAAAGAGCGTATCGTTTGAGAATATTAAAAATTCTTAATTTATTTTTAGAAATATTAAATCATTGTATTAATAATATAACAATATTCCTACAATCATTTAAATCGCTTAAATAAGTTACAGATGTACTTAAGTATGTGTCTTTTTTTATTGCCAAAAATATCAATTAGATTATTAACTTTCGAGACCATCAAACCAGAGTGCAGATTAAATAATGGTCTAATCTAGACGGATGTTTTTTTGCTTTTATTCGGTGAACTTTCAGATCTTTCTTTTTCTTTTCTATGTCGCGAGAAATTAGGGCTCGTTGAAAAGGCTTCAGAGAAGTACAATTGAAAGAACTTTCTTGTTTCTACACATACAGGTCTCTCAGATGTGCGCGGATCACGCTGCATATGAATCTATTCACCTCGTTCGCAGTCAACAATGCCTTATGGTTGATTTGGTACAGATTCATAGTAGCGAATACGGATCTATTACTTAATAATGGCGTAAGTATTAAGAATATAATATTTATTTAATGATTATGAAAAAAAATCTATAAAGATATATCAGTATAAAGACTTATTTTTTATTTGTAAGTTAAGATTTGATTGTTAAAATAATGGAGAAAAATAGCATTCATGCTCTCATTAAAATCTTAAAATCTATAGCTTCTTTTTTTTGTGGTCATTTAATCTGTACGGAAAAGGAATGTACATTACAATTTTTATATAAAATTAAATCACGTCTGTGAAAATACCAAAAAATTATCTACGCTGACTAAAAACTGTTTGTTCAGCATAAGCTGAATATACAGAATACAATTAATCAGACAAATTGCGATACCCATCTAAATGCATGAAATATTCTTCAATGGTAAATACATCGAATAATAATTATACAATTGTTAGAAATTATAATTTTTCTATTACAGCATTACAAATGAAATCTATTAGTACCGTAAGGATACATATCGCTATATTACATTTAAGTCTGATGGCACAATTATTTCAATAGTTTGCAAGCGAATACAATTTGAGTGACTTTGAAGAGACGTTCATGAACTGTCGTGCTTTGCAGATACCATGTCGCGTTCTGCACGTGCTCCTTCATTACTTTCTATTAACAAACTACGCTTGGATGCTCTGCGAAGGATTCTATTTGCACACGCTGCTAGTGAGCGCATTCACTAGTGAGCACAAATTAGTGAATTGGTTGATGGGGCTCGGGTGGCCGGTGCCAGCTGTAATTGTCACCTTATACACAGCATTACGTGCATCCAGCGATAATCCTTCAGACACCGAACAGTAAGTAATAATTTTGTCAATGGTCAATGGTGCATTTGCAAAACGAATTATATCACCAGCTTCATTTCAAAAGAAGCTTTTGTTGCACAAAAAAAAATCAAAATTGGGTAAAAGATTAAATCTCAAAGTGGATTATAAAAGCTTTTATCGCATATAATAGGCAAAAGAAATAAAGTTACCATCGCATTTACTTTTACTATTTTTTCATGAGATTAAAGTCGAATTGGTTAATGCAATATCGTATTCTCATTAATTTATAAAATTAAAATTTAAACCTTCATTTGTAATTTCCTTATGGTTTTAATCGAACATTGTGATTCGTGGAAAGAAATGAGTATTTATGATCTAATAATCGATTAAAGCATTTTCCTTTTATTTTTATCTGAATTTATGAGTGACAATTTCTACAAAGATAATGAAGAGACACTGAGGCAAACTTAAGTACCATTCAGATTTTAACACTATTGAAAGTTATATATAATGGCAAATTTTATTTAATTTATATATATATATATATATATATATATATATATATATAACTTTCAATAGTGTTAAAAATCTGAATGGTACTTAAATATAATATAAATAAATATGTATATAAACATATATAAATATGTATATAAACATATATAAATTTTAAATATAATATATATTAGTCACACGTTTAGAATAAATTGTTTACATTAGAATTATTTATATTAAATATGCATATTTGCAACAGATTTCGAATTATGATTTTTCATTGAATCATTTTCATCGTGGTTTTGTTATAATTACATGTTTAAAATTATATTAGAGCCAAAGCTAAATAAACAGGATCTCCAAATGCTCCAATTTCTCCAGTTGATTAGGCATGTAGCTCGTGTAAAAACACGATCGTATCGAATTAGGGAAACGCTCACTTTCGCATCCGTAATACTAACGTAATACTAATGCGTTTTCGATAAATGACTGCGGGAACTAAACGAGCCTGCTAATTGAAGTATTTGGGATTCGTTGAAGGAGACTATTGACCTGTGGTACCGAACGACCACAGAAAGGGTGCTGGTCTACACTAATTTCTCAGCAAGCACAGCATGCGGTCGGTCGCGTACGTGACGGTAAAATTAGGTATGTCCGCCGCTATGAAGCTACGGTACCTAAATGTGCCGTGGTAGAAGATCGAAACCACGCGATGCGACAATCGCGTTACCGTTCCATTATATACGACAGCTGAACGAAAACTATCGATATACGTGCCCGAGAAATACGTTTATTTGATATAAGCGAAGTAATCATCTTTCCCCACACCCGAAACGACATGCGGTGAAATATTTCGACCCTCTTAAGGTCTTTATTAAACGAGGTTAAAAAATTCTTATTTTCTTAGATATAACTAAATCACATAAGAGAATAGTACACCCGTGATCTCAAAGACCCTTTTTTTCTTATGTAAAGCCTTCCTAAATCCCACGTTCGACCTTTTTGTGCGAAACCTTTTTATAGCCGACGATAGGAGGATCACCTTACATAACTTACTGCAGAAACCTTTTTTCTTGTAAAAAGAGTTTTATGTAGTGGTATATATCCCTTATGCATGAAAACTCTGGCCTTTTAAAACATGAATTTGTATACGGAGGAGATCATTATAGGGGAAATAGGAGAAATGGTAGGAATATGAAATAAGGTAGAAATATTTGTCAGGATCAACAATATAATAGCTATTTTATATCTTTATTCTTTCTTTATTTTTTTTTTAGGAGTTTTAAGAAAAGCATAACACTTTGTATAATATTTGCATAAATTTCGCGATATTACGCGTTATTCTTTTTTGCATCGCATTATTCTTTTTTAAGATTCACGAGTCTTTTGATTAATCTAGTTTTACCTAGGTAGCTTTTTGAGTTTTCAAAGTTTGATACGATTAGAAATTTAGATTTAATAACATAATAAAATATAGTACTACCTTCTCCCATAAAGTACCTTATGAGAAAATGGCCAAGAATGAATCAGTGCTTTTGAGTATCGTCCTCGTTATTTTACTAAAAGCGAGGCCACAAAAAAAAGTCATTGTTGGTCTACCTTTTTTAGAGAACGATTCATCGAGGATAAGCACGAGACATTTTGCATCAAATATGGCATTTTATTTGGTTCGTGGCGCAACTTTCTAACGCGTGGGTATTTTACTTTGCTGGTGCTCCCGCAACGCGAGTTTTACACGAAAATACAGAATTTAAAGGTTCCACCACAGCTGGAGAGTCAAGTTATAAGTATGTTATGGAATTAATGAAAGAGCAAAATTTAATGAAAGTGCCATATCGTACAAATTTCGACCGTTGAACGCTATGGTTTGTCCATAGTTCAATAATAATAAACAGCTTCTATTACGCCTGCATGTCGCTTGACTTTAAAACTTTCGTAGAGTTTCAAGATTGGACACGACATGCGACGCTAAAATTTTAAGTACATAACTGTGTTAAGTAATTGATGCAATATTGTAGACATTTTCTCAATCGTATTATTTACTGGAACTAATGATCTTAAACAAATCTTATGTGAACATTTTGTAACTTAATACGCTATAAAACATTTGCAAATCCTTATATTATTATAATTTTATTTTTATTTAAAGATTAGATAAAATTTAATTAATATCTACGTTTGAATAACAACGCGATCGTCTCGCGATTTTACGTGTGTTAAATGACTTTTTATTTATTTGTTGATGCTTATTGTCGATACAACAATGGTTATCGGTTAATTAAAATTATTATTCGGTGGAAATGTTAAAATTCGTTTGAAGACTACTTTACGCGATATACTTTAATAATGAAATAACACGAGGCTCAATCTTTACACCAGACGCCGGAAGCATGTTGCGTAGATATGTATACGAACAGCTTTACGAGCGACGCAGATTGCCACATGTCAGAATATTGATGAAATAAACGGCTCGATAACGATCTATATCGTCGCCATGTTATAAAGTACCCGATCAAAACAATCTCGTATTAAAAGCAAATAAATATTATCGATTATCGAATTATCATCGCGAATGAGAAAATTCTATGGAACATTTGTATTTCATCATAATAGTAGTTTCTTTATTTAAAGCAATTTATTACGTTAAATAAAAAATAACTTTAGCAATGACCAATAACGATCGCGTGATGATTAGGATAGTGACTACTCATCTACTTTAAGAAATTTTCTAAGAGAGGTAAGATTCTCTCTCAAATTTCGATCAAAATACAATCATCAGTCGTTTTTAATTTTGATTTATATCCTTTGTTCTCATATATTAATAACGCATCGTTATCGCGAAGGAAAGATTTTATTTTTACCGAGAATCTTCTCGCGATATCTTCTTCGATTTGACCTCAGCATCCGCTGCTCTTCGCTTATCCATCTATTTTCGTCGACGTATTTCTGTAGTACACTCTCTCTATCATGTGAAGTAAATGTTTTATAACTAGACGGCAGTAACGCAATATCTAACAGCGATCTTCCAATCTGTTATGTATCTTCCTCTGCCTTCTGTATTTATTACAGGAAGCTCGCCGCGAAGTTATCCTCCTGACATTTTTCATCGTCTTCCTATCAGGTTTGTTAGAATAGGAGTTTATATTAAGCGTCTCTACACACGAATGTGGATATACCTAGATACACAAGGATCGAGATGCGATCGATCTTGGGTGCTCACGAACCTGTCCTTTATTATTTCCTATTTTTAATTAATAAAAATATTTAATATACACATCCGCATTTGACGAGTTATGTATATACAATTCGATATCTCAAGCTATCAAAAATAACTTTTATAGGTAATGACATTTTTATACAAAGCCTCGGTAAAAATAGAAATTATTGAATATGTTGTCTAATGAATCAATAAGTATTTCATTAATCTTCTTCACGGCAGAATGCGCATCCGCCGTATTCAACGTTTCAGAAAAAAAAAGTGCAAAAAGAGAGCAAGAGAAACAGAGTACCTGTACCTGTGTACACTACGTCTACGTCTACTACAATATACTTCATTAGAATTCAGAGTGCTATTTTCATACAGTTTCTTTTTACATTCAGCCCTGTAATTAAAATGAATATGAATCGCAAAGAGAATAGAATTACGTATCATAATTAACATGATAAAATGTATAGATCAGCTATCAACGAATTAAAAAGATAAATAAATAGTGAGTTGATAGTAAATAAAATTATTATTATGATTAGGTGCTGGATCAATGAGGGCAGCTATATGAACGTGCTGATTTATCCCGTATGCGTTTCCACTATGTTGAATCTGCTTTTCCTATTTAATATCGTGCGAGTTCTTCTCATGAAGTTACGTGCCGGTCCCGCCATTGGAACGCGCCCTTCACGATCTATGCTGCAAGCTTTCAGGTAGTTGAATTTTTCACTTTCTGTATGTTACCTTTCACGTCAAATTGTACATTGACATGACAGCGCAAAAAAGAACGTAACGAATGTATCCTTTCTACAGAGATTTATGAGCATGTGTGCAATTTTTTAATCACGGTAAATTAGTTGCAATTATTTTGACAAATATTTATTAATTTTTGCTCGGCAGTGATACTAGCCGATATTGTTAATGATGTTGTAATCATTATGTATGTCATCAGCTTTTCTTCCACGAAAGAAAATGTTAGTTTTTAGTAAATCAAATAAAAAGCAAGTAATTGAGAATTGCAGAATTGAATTGCAGATAATTTGTTGTTATATAAAAAAAAAACATTATACTATGAAATAAATATAGTGATTATCATAGTAATTATAGGTGATGTGTGCATTGGCATTTTATGACATTTGATATTTTGTTATCAGGGCCACGTTGCTTCTAGTGCCTCTCTTGGGTCTTCACTATTTAGTAATTCCATTTCGGCCGCCAAAGAATCATCCTTGGGAAAACTTTTACGAGGTGCTTTCTGCAATCACAGCTTCTTTCCAGGTTGGTGCTTTTCTTTCGCTTATCGCTTTATAATTAAGAGCGAAATAAATATATGAATGATATACAGACCGTATAATAAACGTATCTATATTCAGGAAATTGTATCATAGCGTATATTTCGAGGAGACATCAAATCAGATTGTAAAGCTTCGGGCATCGGAAAGTTCATACATTTAATATGCATTTTATTTGCAGCCTATTGTTTCACATATTTCGACACATTCGTTGCGTTTCGATGCAAAATTTTTATTATATTGCGCAAATTCTTCGTATAACGTGTAAAATGTATCGCGCGAGCAAATAAATTAATAAAGCGAATTTTACCTTTCGCCAATTTAGAATATTGAAATACATATAGTATTACAAATATGATTGAATTTGTTGAACACAGAGTATTTTCTACAATGAAAAGGGATTTTAATCTTTCTTGGAAATCTCCAGTTTCAAATAGCGAATTGTAGTTAGAAACAAACGTACACGCGTACCTTTTGCGAAACACGACACAGCCATTTGTTTTTTTTTTTTTTTTTTCAATCAGACTCCGTTTAGAGATATGACTTTTTGTACGATGGAAAAAATACAGATACAAAAGCTACATAATATTTGAATGTTATCGCGCCTAAATTTAGCAGCGATAAATTCTTTGATCAATATTTGCATTTTTTTCCTCTTGACATAAATACAGAGACAAAGAGACATCCTTCTAAACTTTGGTCCGATGCAATACCAGAATATCGAGCAATCAAATTTTGTGCGAAATTGCGTTTTCACGCACGACACCGCCGACGTGACTACATTGTTATATAATCGCTTTATATTGTATAAAATCGTATCTCGATGGAATCGTATCTCGATTTAATTGAGCGATTCTCTCGAGTGAAGCAGTTATCTTGATATTTGAAAGCTTTCGGTATAACCATTTTACACCTGAAAAATATGATTGTTAGAACGTATATTCGCGCATCTTAACAATGTCACGTGCAGCGAGAAACATTGCAAAAAGTGATTTATTGATTAACTTTCCAATCTCTTTGTCTCTTTATTCGAACGTTTGCTATCTGTATACAGGAATGTTTTAAGATAAAAGTAAAAAACAGAAATTTATGCAAGATGCAAATGCAAGTTTTCCTAAAATATAGATCTATAGATCTCACGTTTTATACATATTGGCTTACAACATTTCCAATTAACTGACATTTATGATCTTGTAAAAATATTCTGTTAAGAAGTTACGATGATTAGTCTCATCCATTACGCATAAGTAACTTAAAATCATCTAAAGATAAGATAAATTACATTTAAATTTATCTTAAATAAGATAAAAATAATTTAAATTTATGTAGATCAAAGATAAAATTATATATTATTTATCTAAATAATTTTAATCGCTTAAGCAAGACATATAAAAATGACATTTTTATAAAATTTTTACTATTTATTAATTAGATAGCATAAATGAGGATGCGAAACGTAATTAATGCATGTTCTTGATATAAATGATATAAATGATTTATATGATTTTAAACATATATATCGCGATCGCTTTTTGAATAATGTTCGTTGAAAGAATATTTGAACTAAATCTAAAACTTTGGATTCCTATTTCCTACATATAAAAATTTCATAATTACTCACTTGGAATCAATTAGTGTTTGTTACATGACTTCTTTGACCGCATTGTAGATTCTTATACGTTAACTTAGATAATTTGCAAAAGATAACGCTTTCTATCTAAGATAAAGATGAAGATAATATATTCTAATCATCTAGATAAATATGTAACAAAGTCTTTTCTTCATCTGGATAATTTTATATAAATAACGGTAAATATTAGTCTCATCTGGGATAAATGGAACAACTTTCCATGTATACAACAATGAAATGAAAGAAAGGAATAAAATTTCACAGTTCATCAGCGATACGATTAAATTTGAGAGTTAACCGGGAAATTCTGTATTTCATACGAAAGAGATTGTAATAAAGAGACTGATTGTAATAAAGAGAGATTGTAATAAAGAGATCAACGAGAATTTCCTTCGGAGACGGTTCCCCGAACCGATACCTCGAACTCGAGGTAAAATGTAATTTCTCTCTTCCAGGGTCTCTGTGTGGCTGTGCTTTTCTGCTTTTGCAACGGGGAGGTAAGTTCCTATGACTACGGTCGTTTCTATCTTTAGAGTAACTTTCGTTCTATGTAATGATATTTTCCTTCGTGGTGCCGCACAGGTAATAGCACAATTCAAGAGAAAGTGGGATGGCAGCGTCCTTTTGCGAAAACGAGCCAATTCCTGCACGGCCACAACAGTCTCGGTATGCAATATTGATGAAAAGTATAGGGTTCTTGCGAACAAGGCTCTGATCGATTTAAACGACGCCTACGCCTCCTGCCTACCTTTCCACGACACCCGTCGAGGAATAACAACTCGGCAAAGAACCAGGTGGATTAAGAGAAAATGGCAGGAAACTCGTTTCGTTGGAATTGAATTCCTTATCTCCGAAATCGTGGATTAATTTAACAATCTTTGGGAGTCTTCCTCTTTCTGTTTCTTCCTGTTTCTCGGTATACTTTCATTATTTTGTGTTTCTCACGAGCAATTAGATTAATAATCCTTCAATTCCCTCGAGATGATAAAACATAGCTACGTCACAATTCGTCTTGACGTTTAATTGACGTTATGCTAACAATCTTGTCTATTTAAATAAACAATCTGAATGAAAGATGAAAACGAAATACTGCTTTTCATTTAGCTTCAAGCTTCAAGCATTATTGAAATGTTATGAATGAAAACAGTTGTGAAATTTTAGCTGGTAATATTTCAATGGGGAATGGAAGAAAAGGTTTGATATTATATATGTAGAGAAGAATATGGTATTATAGTCACTTATTTATATTTTATACAATAATACAAATAACTTTGTTAATAATCAATATTTGATTAGTTGAAAATTTAACGATTATATATTATTTAACGATTATATATTATTTAACGATTATATTACATTTTAATTGAAAACTTAATGATTCATCAAAGTGTTGTTTAGTAAGTTCTCAAAGTTATGAATATTTATTACATTAAATATTATTATTTATAAAAATGTAGTGACACTGAAACATATCAAAGAAAAATATAGAAATATGGGCCATCGTAAAAATAAATTTAAAAAATTAGTTTTGTTTAAAAAAGACAGTATTTGTTATAAAATAAAAATAAAATAAAATCTAATATAACTGTGAAGTTTTAAAATTGATAAAGGTAGATGCTGACTTATTTCAATTAGAAGATAGATTATAGACAAACTGCGAAAAGAACAGTTTTTACAAAACAAACTTTTAGATTTTAAAATTTTTTAATTAAATTTATTAGAATAAAACGTGAGGATGACCTGCTATAGGTCGAAACATCTGTTATTTTAATATATTATACATTGTCATTTTTAAAAAATATATATAGCACGTATGTACATTCAGCGAAGTTTACCGAAGTTTACCGAAGTTTACATGCTCTTTTACCGTTTCATTTTAATATTCTTAGCCTTACTTAGAAGATAATTTAAATTTATCAAATTATTATCGAAGAATTACTTCAATATAAAAATCTCCAAAGCAGTCATATATCAACACGCTAGTTAACCATGTTAACAAAATGCTATGTTATTGTTGTAACTTTGCATAACAACATATATATAGCTGAAAAAAATGTTTAATATCAAAAAAATATTCAAGTGTATATTCATATATTCATGTGATAATATGCTCAAGTTTAAAAAAAATAAAGAAGTATGTATAATTGAATGCTAAAATGAAAAAGTTTCGAAATGCTCGAAAGTGAAAATGTAAAATTATAACAAATCGATTATTGTGTATTAGCACCATTGCATAATAGTAGGTAAACAAATGATTCCATAATTACTAGAATTTGTCATCTAATAAGATATTATGAATGGTCACAATATCTATATGATCTATATAATACTACCTTCTCTTTTATTTTATTCCTAATTTTTACTGTAAATTTAAATTATTTATAGAAAAAGAATTAAATCTTTTTAAAGCGAGAAACGAATCTATCAATTTCGAATTCTATCAATTTCTTTTAATCCACCGATTCTTCAGTGGCAAGTACAGGATTTCGTGGATCAGACGTTTGTGTGCTGCAATAGCAATGTAGAAAATCCTAGAATGTAGCTACTCGACGTTATTCGACGTCGACGAGTGATAGAGAACACCC